TTTCCACTCAAATACACAAAAATAATGCAGAAGCGGGTGAGAGATGAAACATAAGCTGATGAAAAATGTGCAAAGTACATCAGGAGACAAGTTAGTGGTTTCACAGTTGAAAAACTTTTTCAAAAAATTTACACTGACACCAAGTTCTAAGAGGTGCAAACCGAGTGTGGAAGAATGCTTTACTGCTATCCATGTGAAGAGAATATTGTCTCCGACACTTTGATTCAGTACCTACTTGAAGACCGGCTGTGGATTGTTCTAGAAGGAAAAAGTGAAGATGTCATAACTGATCGCCGAAGGTTCTACTCTGCCACGTTCGACACGCAAACAAAGGTTGTGTGTTGTGAGTGCCGGAAGTTTGAAACTCATGGCATAATGCGCAACCATATCATAAAAAATTTAGATTTAAATCAAGTTGTTGACGTTCCTGAACACTATGTTCTTAATCGCTGGAGGAAAGATATCATGAGAAAGCACACACTGGTGAAGGTTTCATATCATGGTCCGAAAAAGCATTCGAGCTAATCTATGATGAGGTGGCAATGGTCAATGATGAGATGGTAGATATGGTTCTCACAACTCCTGAGAAACTTAAATATGATGTCAGTAACTGTAGAAAAAGGAAGATAGAACAAACCATCCCAATGGTGTATTCGGATGATGGAGCTCCATCAGTTCAGTCGTGTTTTAAGGATTTTGTGAGCAATCTGTCGGTTCAAAACCCTAGGCCACCGCAGCCTTTATATGAGGATTGACCTGCGGGTAATGTTACACTTAAAGATCCCCTCCCGAAGAAGAGAGGTCGAGGAAGGCCTAAGGGGTCTAGAAACAAGAGGTTGGCTGAGATTGGGTACAAAAAATCAACTAAGAAACAAGGAGCTTGTACTAAGGTAAGAGCAATAACACTTGTAGACATCTACTTTTGGTCCCCTGTCCTGACCAAAAGCGTTATGACGATAAATAATTCCATCTTTGTGCTGGATTGGAGTAAGGAATGCTTATGGACTACTGATTAAAGCCTAATAAACACATGAAACTAGCTAGCTTGACCCAAAAAAAAATGAACTAAAGCTCATTAACACTAAGCCCGATCAGAAATTAGGCCTAATTGTAAGATTAAACCTAATTTCGGACGGATTTAGAACGCCTCGGTTAAAATCTAGGGCAGCCGCAAGAAAATCCGAGCACAACCCATGAAGTCGCGCAGGCCTAGCGTGCGCAACTCATAAGGTTACGCGCAACAACCAGCCTAACCCTCAGTGATGCGCTTGCAAAAGATTCTGAATTTCAGATAGATACCGAATCAAATCTTACCATACAGCCACGCTCAAGGCTAGAAATCGTGTTGCCCTTGGTAGCGCAACTCCTTCACTTGCGCGTGGAAGCCGCGTGCAACCTCCCTAGCTGCGCGCACCACCTGCTGCGGCAGAATATTTGAAACCCTAATCTCACCCATTCCCTATAAATAGAGGTTCAATACGAGCTTTAAAGACGGAAAAATAGCCAAAAAGACAACAGTAACATCTTTATGAACTTATGCAATAATCAACCCTTTTGTCCTAAATACTCACCCTTTTAATTATTTTGTTCTTACAGTGGAGGTTCTCCAACAAGAAGGTGTCCATTTAAATTCTAGACGAAGATCTAGCAAGGAGAAGTGGTAATTCCCGAGCGCTTAGATAAATCACTCTACTTTTCTTGTCTTAAATAATCTAAAATGATTAATTAGTGTTGCTTGATCACGTTAAATAAATATTTAATTAATCAATTTCGACATAGTGTTCTTTCATTTAATAAGACTAGAATTGAATTAATTAATTGATTGTTTTATCACTTAAGCCAAGGCGAATCTTGTTTATTATTGTTCTTTCACAAATTGGAATTAAATAAGACTAACGACGTTTGTTGTGATGTAATCCTTATGTGATTGACGTGAGTAAATAAAATCAACTAACTTAGTTTTAGGTATCGCGTTGCATATATTGTTTGGCAATGAAATTGTGAAAAAGGAAGAGCTACTAGAGGCCACACTATAGCTAGGATGGCGTTCACCCTAAAGGGAACATTATCTTAGTACCCTCGCTCCCGAACTCATTTTTGGTACAAGCGAGCATACCAATTTGGGCATGGGTAAACTTATAATTCGTGTTAAATATCCCTTGAACTCTACTTGGGAGAAAGGCATGAACGGGGTTTATGAGTTTTATAAAACTCATTGGCGACTCTCTATTGGTTTTTTATAAAAAAAGCGTAATGATAGAATCAATTCTAATTCAAGGTCCCTCAAACAGTCAGGAATTCAAATCCTAACACACCTTAAAAAGTGTAAAGTCCTAGGCTTTTAAAGGGCATGGGAGAGATCCCCAATGACGGGCTACCCTCCTCACAATGGCTACTTAACTAGGGACTTAAAGGTGACAAGATTAGCTTTTAGTTATAGTTCAAGGTTTCCAACTTAGGTTGCCTATGAGTTGTAACGAAGGCTAACTTTGATAATCTCTAGTTAGAGAGCGAGACTTGAATGCATAATATCTTTCTTTTTCACAAAAGTAAAAGCCAAACAAGCAACATTGCATCTTGCATAATCATAGCACACTTCAAACAATGTGGATGGTCTCATTGATTAGGGGTCGCCAACACTAGGCTTCTATCCCGAAATCAATAACAATCATCCCACCCATATCGCCAACAAAATGTTGGGAGAACTATGTCATGGATCAACACGTTCAGTGATTGATTCGTGCATGGCTTCTTAAGATATGGTACCTTTGGATACCCAAGCCTTGACCTTAGATTGGCATTGTATGCTTTCACGGTTCCTCTTGTATGCTTATGTGATTGCATGATTATATGTGACGTGTAAAGGATAGTCTAACCTCTTTTAGGAAGACCCAACTTGGATTAGCTCATTTATGTGCCTTGACATGGGTGAATTAATTTGGGTTGGTTAAGGAATGTACTAGCTTGGTGCTTTATGTAGAACCTTGTTAGTGCGATTCCTTTTTCTAAAAGTTTATCTTTTTTAGTCCTAGCTTAGATTCCCAACTACGAAGTTGTCCCTTCATAGTTTTGAGTCACGTTCAAGGGATATCATACATAAAATAAAATAAAAATAAATAAAAAAAAATCAAAGAAAAGTTATTAAAAAAAATATATACAATAAAAATAAAAATAAAAAAAATCGTTCGAATAAAAAAAAATCATTCGAATCAGGTGGCGCGCGCAACTCATAAAGTTGCACGACCACGTTCAGCGCATGTTCAGAAGTTGCAAGCGACAGTGGTGCGCAACTCTGAACCTTGCACGCGCCTTTTGCTACGAAACCATTTTGATTCTTCACGAACTAATGGCTTGTCAAAAAATATCACTCTTTGTGAAGTGTATATTATTGAAAGGCGATGGTATCCCTTTGAATGTAATTTTGCGTCTTTTCTTTCTTCTTCTTTCTTTTATTCAATTTTCTTCATTTCTCGTATTTTCTTTAAGGCTGATTACTAAGCTTGGGAACGAAGACACCCAAGCGCTCGCATTCTACGTTTACCATCCAATAATCCACCCCTTTCAAACCATCCCCCCTTCTCAACTTATCCTAGTCCAACAATGTCAACCATCGAACAACTCCAAGAAGTGATTATTCACATGAGGGAAGAAAAGGCAAGAGAGGCTGAGCAAAGAAGGATTAAGAAACTTGAAAAGGTCGAAAAGAAGGAGGCCAAGGCTTTAGCCATAAAACAAAAAATGGATGCTTTAGCTGAACAAGAAAAGACGTTGGAGAAACTTGTTCTTCTTTCTACTATGGGAAACAAGTACTTTGACGTTGAAATGTTTGCTCCTCCTGTAGGACTTACTTTACCTGAAAAGTTCGTAGCTTGTAGGAAATTGTCATCGCCCCTCATGTGGATCATGTTTTTAAGCATGGCGGCGTTCCAAGGAAAAGAAGCTAGAGAAAAAGAGTCGCTAAAAAGTTTTAGGAACTTGTAAACCGTTCACGGGTGTGAAGGTTACACCCCATTCACGATCACGAAGATCGCTAACTCCATAGTGGTCTGGAGCCATGACTGAATGTTTAGGGATCATGGTACGAATCCAACCTAAAGGAGATTGAACCCACCCTACATAGGCCTCCACTCAAATCTTATGATATTCATGTGCACTTTTCGATCAACATACATACATCAAGTTAATCCTAAACCTATTTAATCTACGTTGGTTGATTATTAATGCACAATCAAATCTATATTGGTAATCACTTGAATTAAAATCATATTAAGCCTAAATCGAATTATTAATTATCTTATTAGGCGTGATTTCAAGTGCAAATTCCTTTTTAAACATTCAAAAAGGGGCGTGATCAAGCAATAATAATAAATCTTGAATAATTAAGCAACGTTTGATCAATACAGCAATCATCACCATAAAAACATCATCAAAACATCGTTAGTAAGATCCTAGACATGATACTAAACGGATTAATAACAAATCCTAGCATGTCACTAATAACAAAATCAAAGCGTTATCCTAGACATGATACTAGAAATCATAATAAGCATCCTAAACATGATACTAGGAATTAAAATAACATTGTAAACATGATTTCTACTCCAAAATCAAAAGAATAATAGAAACAATAGGCGAAAACACATAATCCGCTCCGGTTCAAAACCCCCATTTAGCACCGGTTTTGAACCGGTCCTGATTTGGGGGGTGCTAAAACCCCTGATATTTCGTACCAGTTCAAAACCGGTGCGAAATTAGACTTTTTGCACCGGTTCTAGGTGAGAACCGGTGCGAAAAACCACACTTTTTGCACCGATTTTGACATAGAACTGGTGCCAAAAGTCCCCAAAAATATTTTAAGAAAAAACATTTAGCACCTGTTCTTTTCCAAAACCGGTGCCAAAAGTCCCCAAAAAAATTAAAAAAAAAATTTTTTTTTGTATTTTTTTCACTTATATTGTACCAAATACTTATATATAATCATAATATACATAAAACACATATATATTTTCTTCAATAACTTGTAATATTACACTTTAAAAAACTAAAAAAAATAAAAAAAAAACACTACATAATCAAGGAGAAATGAATTTCTGAAGACCATAGAGATTAGTACTATCAATGTCAGTCTGAAAATGGTGAGAAAAATTATTAGGAAGCAAAAGCCAAATACACTAAATTGTTAGGAAGCGTAAGCCAATTGCAGATGGAAGAAGTTGCAAGAGAAGCATAGCCATGGCTTTCTTTGAGTAGATACTCCTGTAGGTGAAGGAAATATTTGAAATCATAGCGCTAATAAAGCCAAGCCAGTTGAATGATAACTCAGTCAGGGAAGCCATAGAAACACCTACACTCAAAGAATTACCATTCATAAGAGGGAAGCCATAGAAACACCTACACTCAAAGAATTACCATTCATAAGAGTGTATACAATATTTCATTAGGCAAAGGGTTTTTGTCAACGCACCCTTATAACGAAAATCAACTACGTAGTAGTGTAGCCTTGTACTTCTTATTTGCTTTCTTTCATATGGTATTTGGAAAAGTTTTATGCATGTGTTTGTGTAATTTGTCTATTACTTTATATTTATTTATCCATTACTTATAAGAAATCAGCAACCAAAATCTTTAAGTCAAGAGAGCTCACTACTATTTAGTAACTTTACCCATCCTGTGTTTAATAGAATGAAGATGATAGCCAAGAAGAGATACCTACCAATTACAACTGGAGCCAAGGAGAGCCAGAGAGTAATGGGGATAGACTGTCCGAGAACGAATTGAGAAGCAGCAGCATTGAAAAAGGGCTCCAGAGCTGCATGATAGCAAAGAGAATCACATATTAAGAATTAAAGACTATAAATACAAATGTAGTTAGTTAGGTGTCCACCCTACAGATTGGTTTACATGTTTTCAAGAGAGTATGGTTAGTTTAAGGCTTAACATAGCAACTGTGGAATACTGGTAGCTGGACAACTTGGAGATTCTAGTAGACCACTCTTTTTTTTTTTCTTTTTTTTTTTGGAACCAAAGCCCCAAGAGGGAACTCAATTATCATTACTCGACTGAAAATCAGAGATAGCCAAATTATAAACACACTGAGGAAAATCAGACATCCAAACTCTCCTATCAAGACCCCAAGGAGACACATGAGCAAGCTCATGAGCCTCCTTATTACCTTCTCTACCCACCCATGCCCAAGAAATACAACAGAACTTGCTAGCAACAAAGTGAATATCCTCCAACAGAAGCTGGAAGGAGTGATTGCCAGCTTCACCTTCTTTGATAGCATGAATGACGCTCTCACTGTCATTTTCAACCACCACCTTGATCACAACATTTTGTTTAAGTAACATTGTTATAAAGCAATCCTCAAGACATCACAGCACTTCCCACCCTCGAAAGCATTAAAATTGATCTGTTAAACCAAAATAGCTATGCCCACATATCAGTCAGTAACTCAGAACCTAATAGCAACCAAAGTTAAGGACACTCATAAACATATACAGCAAACATAAAGATGTATAAAGTAAATCATAAACACACGCAGGTCAAAGATGAGTACATCCGATCCAGATTATAAAAATCAGTTAATCAACACACAAAAGCTGAACATCCAGGCAACCTTGTTAAATTTTGATAACATATCAACGTATAGACATTGACAAGATTTGTAAAAAAAGGTACTGACTTGGAATGGTGACGCCACATTTGCTGAATCAAGCTCCATCTCAAACTTTTTCTTTGAGCCTGAACGTTTCTCCTGCAGCCATTTCCTGGCTTCCATAATTGCTGAGGTCCGCATATTTGGAGTAGTTTCACCTAGAGGAAAAAAAAAACCAAAACAATTGTATCAGACAATTACGTAGACATTGCTGTCAATATCAGGATCAAAATCTTGCAAAGCAATTTACCAAAAGTTCCATTGCTGTCCACTACACGAGACCTGACAAGTTTTATCAATTCATTTGCTTCTTTCCTGGTCAGAGAAAACATCAACTAACATGAACATACAACTCCAAATTGAACTGTAGCATATTAGATGGTATAACTATCATCACAGAAAAATGTTGAGTAAACTGATAAAAAGATATGAAGTCGACCATATCTGCTGTAAATGCTAGACAGCAAAATGGGGAATAAGTTGATTTAGTTAATTGTTGCCTGAAGTTAATTGTTAACTGACATGAACCCAAATTTTCTGCCTCTTTCTCCTTTCTCCCTTCACTCTATTTATACTAATGCTAAAGACTATTAACCTGATAATACATTGGAATAAGTTATTTTATATTTGGTATAACATGAATATGAGTCAATGAAATGACCTTTTAAAAAGCTACAATAAAATGATACTGTCTATAGTCATACATAAACCACAATCATTTCATGAATAACTTAATTGTAATTAGTAATAAATCATTACCCTACTAAACAACTAATATTAATAGATATTGTGGAAAGAAAGGGAGGGAAATAGGGGATAGACGAAGGGTAAACAAAAACAAAGGTTAGGGGACTGAAGATGTGAACTTGCATATTTCTTCCAAATCTTTCATTGAAATGATTTGGTTTATTAAAAAGGAAGGAAAATGGATCCCTTCCAATTTTGCACCCTTCCCATCCCCCAAATCATACCCAAAGGTCCCACGAGGAAAGATGAACCATTCACTTTTCTTCCCTCCCTTTTCCTTAAAATTATCCTTATCCAAACACATTGTACATGTGGACCAAGAAGCTTCATATAGAAAAATAAGCAGAATTCTGCAAACATTTAGTACCTTGAATATGTCTCTTCAGTCACCAACTGTTCAATTGCACGCTTATTATCACTCTTGCTGGATAGAGACAACACCTAAGAAATGAAATACAACACGTCAGCTCTCATCTTAGCCCTAAATTTTAGTACTGCTAGAGGTTGCAAATTACTCATGAAAGGTAACAAGAGGCAAATTATGGACAGTAGAATACACCCATTCAAGTCCCAAATGCACACTATAGCTCTAAGTAAGCAAAGGACAAACCCTTATTAGCTTGAAGCACCCTAAATTTGATTGCTAACTGTTGTGCCAAAACCTCAGCCAGATTATATGTATACCCCCCCCCCCCCCAAGATACACACACGCACATGCACACCTAATAAAAGCAGGGGCATGAAACTCAAACCCCCATATGGATACATACAAAATCAAAGCGCACAAACATGGCAAAAGCAGCAAAAAGAACTCAAGCATACGTAAACCATATTACAGAATTTTAAGGCGCACTGTTCTTTCATGAAGTTCCAAGACTCAAGGCTATGTGGATACAATTATATAACAAACAGAAATGATACAATTGGTAGTGCTTCTTACCACAGGATCCCAGACACGGATGATAGTATCTTCGCCACAGCTGATTATAGCGCTGTTTAAAGGCCCCCAAACAGCTCTATTGATTCTTCCATTTGGACCCTTGATGACAAGAACTGGCCTATCACTCTCTGCAAATCAATGTAAACAATGATGTCATCTTTGGGAGCAGATTTCAAGGATAATAAAGTGAGAAGGGATAAATGTTAATGGATATACACACAAATTCATAGACAAGTAATGTTAGCGTAAATGCCTTAAAGCCAAAAGCCTGCATGTTGCTTATAAGTTTCATCAAACCACAGCCCAAAAATAAGTATCCAGAATAGCTTTACAAACAGACTGATAAACTACCTGCCTAGCGCTAACTTTTGGTTTCTTGTACAGATTAAACATCCACATGAAGGTAACAAGCACTGACCCAGCAACAAATTGAATCAATGTGACTGTCACGGGATAATGAAATGCCTTCAGAACCTACAGGAAAGAACATCATACATCACAAAGCAAAAGCTGATGCAAGCAGAGAATCACTACTTTGTATCAATGTTTACCTATGTGCCTCAGATCAATACAATTTTCCATGAAACATGTATTAAGAACTTTTTTTATATACATGCAACAAGTCTGCAAAACAGAGTGACGCATCCTTGTACAGTTGTACCAGTACATCTCAAAGAAACAAAAACAAAATCACACACGAACACACACAGTACATAAGAAATCTTCAATAATAAAAAAATATCAAACAAAAAAGATCGAAGAAAAAGGGGGGAATTGACGATAAACCCTAGAAAATGAAGGCCCTCCCGTCGTGACAAGGAGGCCGTTGTGGTGGAGGTAGAGCTGTGCGCACTTCAATGACAAACCCTAGATTACCACAACCCTAAAATTACTAAATTGAAAAGCAAATCAACGACAAACCCTAGATTGCGAATGAATTCGAGGGATTAAGTAGACCACAAGAAAAATCTTACCTCAAGCTGCTTCAATGGAGGTGAGAAAGCTCAGAATTGGCTTCAATGGAGAATATAGAGCACGGCGAGTTCAATGGAGGCCAGAGATATGGAGAGAGAAGGAGGTGCTGCTTCAATGGAGTGAGAAAGCTCGTAAATCACTTCAATGGAGAGAGAAGGAGGTGCTGCTTCAATGGAGTGCAAATTCGGGATGGTGGAAGAGAAGGCGAAAACGAGAAGGAAACAGGAGATGGAAAAGTAGGGGGAAAGAAAGAAGAAGAAAGAAAGAAAGAAATGCACGCAGCTCGGTTTTTTTTAAAAAAAATTTCGCACCGGTTTGTACAGGTGCTAAAACACTATTTCGCATCAGTTTGGTTTGAAGTATTCTGAACCTGGGCACGGGCTGGGTTGGCCCGCGTGCCGCCCGGCACGGCCCGCCGTTCGGCGCAGCCCGGCACGGCACGAAGTTCAACTCCCGTGCCACGGGCCGTGCCACGGACAGGGTTGAGAATTCCCAGGCACGGCCCGGCACGAGCACGGGCATGGCCCGCCGTGCCGGCCCGCGGGCCAACGATAATGTTACCGTTTATTCTAGCTCCTTAATAAGCCAAAAAAACGGCTAGTTTTTTGCCAATTTGCTCCCCAAAAATTCTATAAATACTCACCTCCATTTCATTCCCAAATCACAAAATCACAATCTCTTCTTCTTATCTCTTATATTCTCTAAATCTCTAATAATCCTTATTTTCTTAAATTCTCTAATTATTCTCTTAAATTCTCTAATTATTTTCCTAATATCGGAAAAAATTAAAAAGTTCGTAATCGTAATTAGTGGAGCGTTGAAGCACGGTTGTAAGATCTAAACTAATCTTAAATTTATTATTGTTTTATTGTTATTATTAGAATAATCTTGTTTAATTATTATTGTTGTTAATTGTTATTGTTGTTGTTATAATTGTTGTTATTAATTATTATTATTGTTACAATTGTTGTTATTATTTATTTTTGTTGTTATTGTTATTGTTATAGTTGTTGTTATTAATTAATATTATTGATATTTTTATTGTTAAAATTGTTGTTATTAATTATTATTATTATAGTTAACCACTTTTTATTAAAAAATTAATTGTTAATTATGGCATCGAACAACCCATCATCTAGGTCTAGGGGGAAAGGTCGACTTATCCGTAGTAGTAGTTCTAGGGAACCACCAAATACAACGAGCCCCCAAATTACGAGTCAAACCAATGACCCCATTTACTTCCCCCCGGGCTATGAGCCATATAATACGTCGGGATTTCCAGCACCACCACTAAACCAATTTCCACTACCACCATACCAATTTTCACCTAATTATATCGGTGATCAACAAAACTATTGTTCTAGCCAAGGTAGCCAAGAAAGTACCCGAATTCCCTCCGGTTCTACCCCTTCTACTGCCACTCCCACTAGTCCCACTACTAACCATCACACACATCATGAATGGTTAACCGAAACTGAGATGCTACTTTTGAAAAACCGAAGGAGTGAGGTATGGCATTATTTTGTCCTAAGTAAAGATGGTGAACAATGGGCAAAATGTAAAACATGTAATTGTTTCGGGGTTTTCTGATGTCCTGCGGGAGAGTTACAACACCGAGACTGGAACCGGCCGCCTGTACCTGCAAAATAACGGAGACTCCTGAGAGCTCCGCCTCCAACGGTCAAGTTAGTACCTGATTAAGGAGTAATTAATACGGAAATTAAAGTGGTTTAGTCTCTCTAGGTGAGAGTGTTTAATGTATAATCCGTGTGTTATTAGAGTTCTCTCCCTCTTAATGAGGATTAAGAGGAGTATTTATAGTCTTGAGAAGCGTGCCACTCTCTAGGTTTAGGGTAAACCTAGGGCTGACCGGGCCTCTAAACAGGATTGGGCCTTGGTGGCCGGTTTTCCCATTTGGCATGGGTGGACACGTGGCGTGTCTCAATTGGTCCGCAGAGGACGAATCTGTAATTGACACGTGGCAGGCTCCTATTGGCCTACGTGAAAGACACGTGGCGGAACCTGGTTGGTCCACTTGTCAGACGGTGATTGGTGGATAAAAATCCCCTAATCATTTGCCCCTCACAGGTGGCACGTGACTGGTCACGTGTCGCCTGTGACAGGTGTCGCATGGTGACAGGCGACGGCCTGCTGCAGGTGTCACCTTGCAAATGGCCGAGAGATTTTCCCGCCCAAATTTTGAATTTGGAAGCGACCCTTCGCCTTCTCACTTTGCCTATATAAGGAAGTGCTGACTTCGGTCATTTTTCACATTTGAGAACTTCGCGAGAGAACATTCGGACCCCTGAACTTGCTCTGACACTTTTGTTGCCTACCGCCTGCTCTGACAAGCCGTTTGCAAGGGATTTCAGAATTTCATCAGTCGTCACTCGTTCAGGTAACCGTCGGTTCTCTTATTCTTAATTTTTTTCTTATTATTATTTTTTGAAATGGCACCATGGAAGCACACGACACGACCTAAGTTAGTGATCAGCCGGTCACCGGGGACGGCTGAATCTAGGACTAGGAGTGTCGCCTGCCCTTTTCTGGACCCATCTTTGCCCTTTATACAAAGTCCGACTGTATCTGTGTCTATGCAGAACGTGATGGCCAGAACAAAGAAGACTGCTAGGATCTCAAACTCGGACGGCTCCTCCCAAAGGGTGCCCATTAGTGAAACATCTGACCAAGCGCCAGATGTAGAAAGGAAACAAGGCGGCTGCCAAGCCGACAGTTCTGAGGGAGGGGGCAAGGTGGTCCCTTCCCATTTTACCGTTGATATGTCCAACTTTTCTCCTGCTCCTTCTGAGGGAGAGGAGGCGGGCCCCTCTAGGAGAGGGGAGGAGTCGTCCTCTTCGGACTCGTCAGAGGACGAGTCCGAGTCCAGCTCTTCTGGCCACGCTTCTCCAGGCTCAGAAGAAAGAAACAGCCGCCTACAAGAGGCGAGGCTTTCTCATGCAGTTGAGAAGGGGAGCCATTGGGCGGAGCCGTCCGCCTCTTACAGAGAGGAAAACACCCCCTACTACTGCACGGTACCCCGGGGCCGGATCGCGGCCATGAAAGACAAAGTGGAGAGCTTTATAGCTAACCACAGAATGGGCCCCGGATTTTTACTGTTCGTGCCGGATCCAGAAGACACTGTCGTCTGGCCGGCTGGTACCAGCTATGATAGCGGCTGCTTTGGCTGCTATGAGGCGGCCATCAAAGCTGGACTGCGCTTCCCATTACATCCGGCTGTTCAGCGGATTTTAGATGGGTATGATTTGGGGTTATGGCAGTTAGCCCCCAACTCTTGGGTAAACGTACTCGGCTATGTGGCCGGGTGCGAAATGTACGGGGTGGAGCCAAGCTTCGAGGCTTTCGCCCACATGAACTATCTCAGCCGGACCCCTAAGTCGGGAGGTACCGGCTGGTATCAATTAACAAGCCATAGGGGTTACCTCATGACGAGAGGTAAGGCGAACAAATGGAAGGATTGGCGGAACACCTTCCTTATCATCGAGGGTTCAGACACGGAGCTGAACAAACGCTTTAACAAGTGGAATAGGGATCCGCCTCTTCTCGCAGGCGGCCGCAGCATGCCGCCTGTTCCCCCAAAGGCTAAAAAAGAGATCCTAGACAAAGGACTCTTCAAAGTAGAGACTAGGGTGAACTCTACTTCAGGGGTACGAGAGCAAGTACCCCTGAACTGCGTCCCGAGCTTTAAGTGGCTCTATGACGAGTACTTTTTGGCCGCCTGTGGCCTCAGCAGTCGGTGCTCTAGAGGTAGCCGGCCTGACAAATACTCTGTTTTTCACGCCTTGTTTACTTGAGATTTTTACTAACTTTGCTGTTTATTTTTTGCAGCTGACGCCATGAGTAAAATAACAGCATCCAAGACTGCGGCGGCCATGTTGCGGGCCTCTCTCATGCAACAGTCTTGTACCGACTCCCCCAACAAGGGGGCACCCTTGGTAGGCCTCGAAACTCTTCCTCTTTTAGGAGTTGGCTTATGCATATACTAACTTTTTTTTTTTTTTTTTTTTTTTTTTTTTTTTTTTCAGTCGGGCACTCCAAGAGCTTCTTCCTCGCAACAGCCGGACCCCAAGGCCCGGAGGACGACTGTTGCAAGCTCTCCTGGGTCTTCCAGGAAAACAGTGGCGGCTGAAAAGCAGCCGGCCACTTCTTCTAAAACTCCGGCGGGGCCGCCTAGAAGTATGGACAATTACTTGAAAAAACTCACTTGCTTTCTTCTTGACTAGGTCTAACTTGCTTTTTTACGCTTGATGCAGCCGGCCCTCAGGAACCTGACTTGGTAGAGGTAGCCAAGTCCATGATCAAAGCAGTTCCTCCATCTGAAAGGGAGGCGGTCAGGGGTGTCGGCACCCTTGACCTTGATGGGATTGCAGGGGTCCTTGCTGAGGTATACTTAGCATTTTTTGTATTTGAGTTCCAGGACGCCTGTTATCTTGTTTGGAAACTGACGTCTGTTCCCTTTTTACTTAGGCCCTGCTCCGAGTGAACGGCCTTCGCAAGCCGCTTGATCGGAAAAACAAAGAGGTAAAGGCTGCAAAAGCTATGGCCGCCTCTAACTGTGATAAGGAAATGTTTCAAATTGCCCAAAATGA